TTTGAATTTGAATTTGCTTTTCTTGTGAGAAATTTTGAGGAATTTTTTTGTTTTAAAGTTTTAAAACAAAGTTTATTAGCAAGAAGAAGAGAGGAAAGGGGGCACGTCAAAGTGTTGAGAAATATTATTATTATTATTTATTTTTTTAAAAATGTGGGGTACAATTCAGGGTTAAGTATACAAATGTTCATTATGCAGATTGTTGATGAGGTGTGCTCCTCTTTCCCTTGGCAGTTTCCCTCAACTGACAATACCACTCCCCTCCCCTGGAAATTTCCCACTACTGCCAATCCCTTTCTTATAGCATTATGATAATTGCTCAAGGTCCCCTTATGACTGAGAACATATGGTGCTCTGTTCTTTGTTTCTGTGACAGATCACTGAGTGCTATAGACACTAATATCCATCCAAGTTGGTGTAAAGTCCATATGTTTGTCCTTCTTTTGGCTGCATAATATTCCATTGTGTGTATGTACCATATTATTTTTATCCAGTCCAACTCTAATGGGCAACATGGTTGGTTCCATGTTTTTGCTATCATGAACAGAGCTGCAACAAACATATGTGTGCAGGTATCTTTTTTGTAGAATGATTGGGTTCCCTTGAGTATACTCCCAATAGGGGGATTGCTGGGTCATATAGAAGGTCAATTTCTAGCTCTTTCAGAAATCGCCACACTGTCTTCCAAAGAGGTGCACTAGTTTGCATTCCACCCGCAGTGTAGAAGCCTTCCTTTTGTTCCACATCCTTGTCAGCATCTGTTGTTGTTTGTTTTATTAATGATGGCCATTCTTACTGTGGTTAGGTGGTATCTCAATGTGCTTTTGATTTGCGTTTCTCTGATGATGAGTGAGCTTGAGCACTTTTTCATGTGTCTGTTGGTTTTCGATAAATCTTCTTTTGGGAAGCGCCTATTCATGTATATTGCCCACTTTTTAATGGGGCTGTTTGATTTTTTTTTCTTTTCAGAGTGTTTGAGTACCTTGTAGATCCTAGATGTCAGACTTTTGCTAGGTATATAGTTGTGAAATATTTTTTCCCATTCTGCTTGCTGTCTCCCCACTTTCTTGATGGTTTCTTTTGCTTTGCAGAAACTTGATGAGGTTTGACAAGTTTGATGAGGTCCCACTTGTCTGACTTATCTCTTATGGATGGGCACTTGGGATTTTGATTAGATATTGGTTGTCAGTTTCAATTTCCATAAGGGTGTCTCCTGCATTTTCTAAGATTCTTATAGTTTGAGGTTTTACAATTAGGTCTTTGATCCATTTAGAGTTAATTTTTCTGTACAGTGATAGGTAGGGGTCCTGTTTCAATCTTCTGCATGTGGGCAGACAGTTTTCCCAGCACCACTTGCTGAATAGGTTGTTGTTGGAGGCTTTGTCAAAGATGAGCTGGTTGAGGGATTGAGGCTTTACTTCTGGAATCTCTAACCTGTTCCATCGGTCTATATGGCTGTTCTTGTACCAATACTAGTTTGTTTTGATTATTTAGCCTTATAGTAAAGTTTGAAGTCTGGAAGTTTGATATCTCCTGCTTTGTTTCTCTTGTTAGGAATTGTTTGGGATATTCATGGTTGTTTATGTTTCCATATGACTTTCTGTATTGTCATTTCAAGGTCTGAAAAGAGTAATGTTTGTAATGGAATGGGTATTTTGTTGACTCTGTAAATTGTCATTGGTAAGATGGACATCTTAACAATGTTGATTCTTCCTATCCATGAGCATGGGATGTTTTTTCATTTGTTTGTGTCTTTTGGATTTTTTTGAGCTGTGTTTTGTAGTTCTCATTGTAAAGGTCTTTCACTTCTCTGGTTAAGAAGAAGCCAAGGTATTTCTTTTCTTTCTTTCTTTCTTTTTTTTTTTTTTTGTGGCTTTTGTGAATGGGATTGTGCTTTGTATTTGGTTCTCTGCCTGTTTGTTGTTGGTGCATAAGAATGCAACTGTCTTTTGCACATTTATTTTGTACCCTGAGACTTTGCCAAAGTCCTTTATCAGTGCAAATAGGTTTTTGACAGATTCACTTGGATTTTCAAGGTATAAGATCATATCATCAGTAAAGAGAGCTAACTTTCTCTTTTCCTGTTTGAATACCCCTGATTTCCTTCTCTTGTATAATTGCCTTAGCTAGGACTTCCAACACATTTTTTATCAAGAGGGGTGAGAGTGGGCAGCCTTGTTTTGTTCCATTTTTCAAGGGAAATGCTTCCAGTTTCTGTCCTTTTAGCAATATACTTGCTGTAGGTTTATCATTGATGGTGCTTACTATTTTGAGGTGTCACTATAACTAGGTGTTTGAGGGTTTTTATAGAAAAGGGATGTTGGATTTTATCAAAAATTTTTCTCTGCATCCAAAGATATAACCATGTGGTTCTTGTTTTTACATGTGTTGGTGTATTTAATTACATTTTTGGTCTTGAGGATGTTGAACCAGTCCTGCATCCTGGGAATGAAGCCTACTTGGTCATGGTGGGTGATTTTTGAGATATGTTGTTAAATCTGGTTTGCTAAAATATTGTTGAAAATTTTAGAATCTATGTTCATCAAGGGTATTTGCCTGTAATCTGCTTTCTTTGTTGGCTATTTACCTGGCTTGTGTATTAATGTGATGTTAGCTTCATAAAATGATTTGGGAAGAGTTCCAACTTTCTCAATTGCCTGGAATACTTCAATAAGATTGATTTCACCTCCTCTTTGTATGTTTTCTAGAATTTTGCTGGAAAGCCATCTGGTCCAGGGCTTTTTTTTTTTTTGGAGGTAGTTTTCTTACAACATAGTCAATTTCCTGGGTTGTTACTGGTCTACTTAGTGTCTTAATTTCTTCTTGTTTCAACCTGGGAAGTTTGTATGGTTTCAGAAAATTCTCCATTTTATTCAGGTTTTCAAATTTATTTCCATACAAGAGTACACGGTAATGTCTGATAATCTTTTGTATTTTGGAAGGATCAGTTGTGACTTGATCTTTTGCATTTCTGATTCTGTTTATTTGAGCTTTTTCTCTCTTGGTCATTCTAGCTAGGGGTCCATCAATCTTGTTTTTCCTTTCAAAAAATCAACTTTGGTTTCTTTTTTCTTTTTTTTTTTTGTATTATACCTTTGTCTTCTATGTCCTGAATTTTGACTTTTATTTTGATGATCTGGATTCTCCTATTGAAGTTAGGGTTTTAGTGGTCTTGCTCTTCCAGTTTCCTTAGGTGATTTGTTAGACTGTTAACTTGTGGTCTTTCCATTCTCTTCATATGTGTTTGTAGAGACGTGAATTCCCCTCTTAGTACTGCTCTCATGGCATCCCAGAGATTTTGGTAAGATATTTGTTTTCATTTGTTTCCAGGAATCTTTTAATTTCTGTTTTGATTTCTGTGTTGACCAGTTGTTCAGCACCATGTTTTTTAGTGTCCATGTCTTTGTGGGTTTGGGGGGAGCTTTGTTGGTGTCGATATTTATTTTTATTCCACTGAGGTCTGAGAAGGTGCATGGCAATATTTCAATTTTATGAAATTTTTATATGTTTGATTTATGGCCAAGAATATGGTCGATCCACATTGAGGTTTTAGATCTCCTTTTTGAAGTTTTGTCTCGACGGTCTGTCTAAGATTGTTAATAGGGTAATTAAGTCCCCTTAAATGATAGTGTTAGAGTAAATATTTTTTTTAGAAGTGGCTTTATAAAAGTTTTTCCAGAAGCTGCTTTATAAAAGTTGATGTTCTTCTGTTGGGTGCATATATGTTTAGGATGATATTTTTCTTGTTGATGGATTGAACTTTTTATTATTATTTATTGTCCTTCTGTATCTTTTTAAAGTTTTGATGGCATAAAGCACATTTTTTCTGATATTAGAATCACAACTCTGCTTTCTTTTGTGTTCCATTTGCCTGAAAATTTGTTTTCCATCCCCCTACTTTGAGTCTGTTAGTGTATTTTCTGGTGAGATGAGTGTCTTAGAGATAACATATTGTTGCATCATGATAATTTATCCAATTTGCCATTCTGTGTCTTTTCAGTAGTGCATTTAGTCCATTCACATTCAGGGTAATTATTGAGATGTGGGAGTGTATCCCTGTAGTGAGGTTCTTATAGAGTTTGTTATTGTTGTTGTTGTTTGTTTGTTTATTTATTTCTTGTCTTTCCTTTGATTTTTGAGTTGATTTATGTGTGTTTTCAATCTTTGTCCTGCATTCTTGGGATGGACATTGTTCATTTTTTTCTCTCTTCTATGTTTAATACTTTCCTAAGTGTTTCCTGTAGAGTTGGTCTGGGGGTGGCATAAACTCCTGGGGATTGATGGCTGTGAAGAATTTTAATTCTCCACCACTGATGAAACTTAGCTTAACTTGGTCATTAATTCTTACTTAAAATTGCTTATCTTTGAGAACTTTGAATATTGGACTCCAATCTCCCCTAAACTGAAGTGTTTCTGTATATAAGTCTGCTGCTATTCTTCCCTGGTAGGTAGTCTGACTTTTTTCTCTTTTTTTTCTAAATGAAAATACTCCAGAATGTTTATTTTTATTATATATTTTACATTTAACTTTTTAACAAATAATTGTGATAATTTCAAAATGCAGTCCCTAGATTCAATAAAAATCCTGTATAATCAATTATACTATTATCTATAAATATCTGTAGACACAAAGTTAGCTGATGAATAAAATAAGTAAATAGCTATATAAACTATAAATCTCAGGGATGGGGATCATGCATTAATTAGTTAAGTCACCTTGCCACCATGTCTTTTAAATAACATGATTCACATGTGATTCAATCACATAAACATCCATTGTAAATATTAAATTTGATTGCTGATGCTAAAACTTAAAACTGTGATCTTTGTTACATTTTAAAAAGAAAAATCAGTTCAATACAAAGACATTCAAGAAGAAAATTTCAAGATCAGAATATTTCAATGCTTGCTGCACTACTTTGGTATAAACAACTAAGGCTAAGAAAGAAGAGTGTTTCCACTAAGACATTATCTCAAAAACAGGTGAACTAGCATTCTGTAGAAACTGGCTAGCTAGCCACCAAGAGGTTACCAATAAAGGACTGTTTATACTAGCAAATAACCACATTTAGGAAGCCATAGCAGGTATTACAAAAAGAAAACATTTTGAGTAAATAATACTTATGAATACAAGTATAATTAGTTCCTTGCCTTCCACAAATAATCATCTGAAATGCTAAAAGCAGGTTTCAGCTGTGATTCTTCTCTCGAATGAGAAGGTTCAGGTACACATGAAGTATCTACCAATTTACCTTCTCTAAGTACTCTTTAGAAGCAGTTGGATTTGACTTGATTGAAGGAGTTTCCAGTGTCCAGTTTGCTGGGCAGACTTCTCCTTGGGTTTCTACAAACTGAAATGCCTTCACCAAGTGGAGGATCTCTTCCACGCTTCAGCCCACAGGGAAATCATTGACACTCATATGTTTGATGATTCCATTGGGGTCAATTATGAAGAGATCTCTTAATGTAAGACCAGGATGTTTTAACAGCACACCATAGTCTCAGGAAATTTGTTTAGTTAAATCTGACAAGAGTGTGATGTTCATGTGGCCCAAGCCACCATTCTTTCTTGGTGTATTTATCTGGGTAAGATGGCTGAAGTGGGAGTCCACTGTGCCTGCAACAACTTCACAGTTCACATCGCGACATTCATTGGCTTTGTCACTAAAAGCAACAACTTCTGTAGGACACACAAAAGTGAAAACCAAAGGATAGAAGAAAAGCACCAAATAGTTCCCCTTAATGTCATCAAGGCTTAGGTCTTTGAACTCTCCATTGACAAAAGCTGTACCCTTAAAATAGTGTGCATGATGGGTGACAGCAGGTGCATGGTATGAAGAACTGGAGCTAAAGGTGAATTTTTCCTGGCTAGAACCAGACCACAGTATATCTGTCAAGCATTTTCTTCCAGAAGCAATAGGCCTAAGGGCTACTAAGGCAGAAATGCCCTGAGGAATGGTGCTCGTATGCTGGGCATCCAAGACCCACAGCAACTTTCCTAAAGCCATCTTCAGCACTTGTGGGAATTGACCTTTCTCTCTTGCTGCCTTTAGGATATTTTCTTTTATACCAACTTTGTGTAAGCAAATTGCTATGTGTCTAGAAGTTGGCCTTCTCATTTGTTGTCTTGCAGTGGTTCTCTGAATCTCTTGTGTTCAAATGGTCATGTCTCTGATGAGATAAGGGAAATTTTCTTGGCTATTTTCATGGAATGTTTGTTCCAGGGTGGTCTCTGTCTCTCTATCTGCCTCAGGAATTCCAATTAATCTTAAGTTTGGTCTCTTGATATAATTGCTCATCTCTTGGAGTCTTTGTTCCTTTTAAGCTTCTTTTCTATGTTTTTAAGTTTTGATTAGTTCCAAATTTGGGGCCTTAAGTTCTGAGAATCTTTCTTCTGCTTGTCATACTTATCAGTTCGTTAGTTATTTCATTTACTGTATTCTTTATTCCTGTTATCCCAGTTATCAACTCCTGCATTCTTTCCTCTTGACTCTCCTCATCTCCATTTATTCTTTCTATTCATATCTTGATATCTGGATTTGTGGTTTGAGACCAGTCATTCTGGGGACTCTTCATTGTTTGAGTTCCAAAGTCTGTCTTCGCAGTTGTTGTCCTTCCCGGGGTCTATATAAGACCCATATTCTTTATTTTTTCTTCATTTGTGTAGGTTCCCCTCTCCCTTTTTTCACCTCTTCTTCAATTCTGTTGTTCAGTGAGGGCTGGATAGCTTTTACTTCTGTTTCCTCATCTCATATTCTTCCTTATATAGATCCTCTGGCTTTGTCCAATTTTGAAGCTGAACTGAGGGGTGGGCATCTGTGCTTTCTGCAGTTTTGAGATTTAATTAAGGGAAGAGTTGTGATTCAGAAGTTATCCTCAGATCTCTGTAACTGCTGATAGGTGTATGGGCCCTCTGGAACTCACTCCCCACCCCTTTACAATCTGTCCATGCAATGGAGGTGAATGTTTGCCTCCTGAAAGCAAAATGAGATACGAAAAAGAATGGGAAATGGAAGGAAGAAAATGAAAGGAAGGTGGAGAGGGAGAAGAAGACCAGGCAAAACAGACAGGCATACCAACTAGCAAACAGAGAAACAAAGACAGGAAAAACAAAAAATACAGACAATCATAGAAACAAACAAACAAACAAAAAAAACCTGTTGATATGCTCATCTTCAAAAGTACCCAAACACAAACAGAAAATCTAAAAGAAAAATTAAAATAACAGAAACAAAGCAAGTGTGAAAACAAACAGAAGCAGTAGGAAAGAGAGGAGAAAAAGAACTGGAAAAAAAACTCACTTTGTGGTCATTTCTGTAACTCTAGTTCACTGCTGCTTTTGGCTATTGCCACTACGTTAAGGAGCAGCTCTGTTCTCCAGACTGACCCCTCTGCTCTCAGCACAGGCTGTAAGGTTTGCTCTCAGTGTGGGTCAGATGCCTCATGAACTTCTGAGGGAGGATGGATCAGATCTGGAATCACCCAACTCATCTGCTGCTGCCGCTGCTGTCAAGTTTCCCACTCAGGTCTGACGTGTCTATGTGCCTGTTCCAGCATGGGTCAGGGGTATCTGTCTCTCCCTGTCTGATGAGGAGATAGCCTCTGAGTACCAGGTAGGAGGCTGGACAGTGCTGGCCAGGGCAATGCAGGTCTGTCGGGTCCTGGGGCAGAGAAGATGGCAATGGTAGGTGTCTCCTTATCAGCGGCAGGGCTCTGTTCCAAATTTCCATGCCCTGTCTCTCCACAGCTCCTGCTGTTCACTCCGCCTACTGCCACAGGTGATGACGTGGGCCAGGTACCAGGTGGTGTGGAGTAGCTGTTCTCTGCTGCCTTCTCTCAAGAGAACCCTGAGAACGGCAAATCATCCTGTGCATGGGGGGCTCCAATCTCAGGGTGGTGGTGGGTTGCAGTCACCTCTGGCAGGGAACCTGCGTGCATGAATCCAAGTCTCTCTTCAGATGAACTTTCACTCACCCACCAGCACCCACCCACTCGTACAGAGAGTCTTTATGGAAATACACTTTTGCGGAGACTATCAGACTCCTACCTGTTCCATTGCCATCTTGCCTCTTGGCCCGCTAGGTACTTTTTAAAAAGCTTATAACTGGGAATGGCATGTGTTACTTAATCTCATTTGGCCAAAGACAACATAATCTCTAATCATTTTGAATTAATTTTTTTTGAGTTGGATTCTCACTCTGTCACTCAGACTGGAGTGCATTGTCCGCTCCCAGCCACTGACTGCAGCCTCGACCAGCTGGGCTCTGGCGATCCTTCCGCCTCAGCCTTCCAAGTAGCTGGAACGACGGGTGCACACCACTACACCAGCTAATTTTTGATTTATTGTAGAGATGAGGTCTCGACAAGTTGCCCGGGTGGGTCTCGAACTCACGGGCTCAGGCAATCCACTCACCTCAGCTTCCCATAGCACGGGATTATAGGCTGAGCCACCCAGTCCGACTATTTTGAATTAATTATTCCAGCAACTGGTTATTAGTTGGAAGGGAAAAAAATTGACTTAATGTTTTATTAATTTTTGAGACATGATCTAATAATCACTGATAAGTGTACTGGAAGTTAGATGTACTGTATCAATTAGAATTATTTCAAAGTGAAAATGTAATATAAAGGAAATGAAAAAATGAATTGATTATAGGACCTGGAAAATATATGTTCAAATTCCAAGGTGCTAGTTAATGACATTAGGTCAAGAATTTAATTACTCCAAACCTGTTTCTTCACCAGTAATACATGGCATGATGTGGGGTAGCTCTTACAGTTATGGAAGATGACAGATATGACACACCAAGTTCACTGGCTAGTTCATGGTAAGCACTCAATAATTAATGTCTTACCTCCAACCTCTATCTTTCTTCCATGCCTCATGACCCTAATAAATGTGATATACCTAAACAGAAATGTGATTAGCTTCTCAGAGTCATTGAAGGATTAACCAAGTATATAACTATTTGCTGTATTTTTTAAAAGTAAAGAGAAAATCAAAGATACTACAAGTAAAGTAAGTTACCGTGGCAAAAAAAGGTCAGTCTATCCAGCAATAAACATCACTGCAGGATGTGGATCTTTTCCCACCTTTTAAATTAAATCAGCTTATTTGCAGACATACAAAAATAAAAATATGCAGGTTGATAAGTGCAATATTAGAAGACAAGATCAAACAATAGTTCTATGGGAGCCACTTTGACATGTCCTCAGTCTTGCCAGCATGGCAGGCCACCTGAAAAGTTTTGATTATGTTATGCCACCAGGCACTGAACAGTACATTTAAGACATGAAAGAGGACACCTATTGCTCTTCAAGTGCTTTCTCCCCTAACAGGCAAGGACACAGAATTCAGAAATGCTTTTTTATTTCAATGAAAATTGTATTATTTTACCTTTGTCTTTGTTTGTGACAAGGCCTTTCTCTTGCTATCACAAAAAATGTAATTTTTAAGAAGATATTTCCCAGTAGAGATTTTTAAAACTAAGTGTTGTACTTGAATTTTACATGTTTTTCTATTTGACCTCACATTTATTAGGTACATTTTTCTTACAGATACAGCACATGTTTAAAATTACTTTTGAAAATAATTTTGAAAAATGAACTTGCACAGACACTTAAGAATATAACAGCACTATAATTTCAACTGAACGTCAAGTGAGGAAAAAAGTCAAAACAAAACAAAAAAGTTTTATTACTGATCCAATCTAAGTTATTAGATTGTTGAAAGTGATAGTTAATGATTAGACAAAGTAATTGAGCTATACTGGGTTTCTGTCTTTGGGGTCATGTTTTCTAAATGCTGCTTTTTTTTTTGAAAACATAGATAACTCATTCATTAAAACCGATATATCATGAGGTTAAAAGGAGAATCAGTGTCACTGATTGCATGACTAAGTTAGTGTTCTATATCTTCACCAGCTGGACATGAAGCCAGAACAAATAGCAAGAATTGCAATAACAATTATTATAAAGATAATGAATTAAGGAATTTCAGAGTAGAAAGGGTAAGATTCTTTTATTTTAGAGAAAAAGAAAATGAGATTTGAAAGTAAACCATTATTCTAAATATAATGCAAAAAAACGGTTTTGTGAGTTTTGGAGGAGAAAGATATGGTCAAGACAACAAAGATAAGCTGCTCAATGTTAAAATGAATGCTAATCTACAAGTGTCCTTGACTGGTGAATTTTGAAATAGAAGCATAATGTCCAAAAGTATGTGTAATTAAAATATTACTTTCATTTGCACTCAAATGTCCATTTTTGGAAAGATTTGTGTCACAATTTTGTAACAAAATGCATAATACATCAAGATGTATATTATCGACAGACATCAACAATCTAGATTGTGTTTTAGAAGACAATAAAGTAAAGTAATTGTTGAAGTAATTGGATCAACTGTACATTATGTGTAGAAGAGTTACTGCAGTTTTAACTAAAGAAGAAGAAATTTTTACAAAATCTTGCATTCAAAAAGTGTTAGGCTGCTTTTATTTATTGTTTGTATGTAACATCAGACTACTGAGAGTAGAAGGAATTAAAAAATCAGAGACTTGTCAAAAATATAAGGGTAATGCTTTAAAACAAGCAATAACTAATATTCACTGAGAACTGGAATTGTTTCTGGAAGCATGGCATAAGATTTCTGTATATTTATTTATTAAATCCCACATTAACTATGTGAGTAAGAAGTTATTATTTGTGCCATTATACAGATGAAAAAACTGAGGTTAAAAAATATGTTTTAAAATCCCATAAAGTTATTTTATGTCTTAATATATGATAGAATCAGGATTTGAAACCAAACCACCCAGTTGAAGAGTTTGTGATCTTAACTACTTTCTTATGACAAAACCTGCTGTAATCAGGTGGTTGGCAACTAAGCTTTAGTGCTACATACAATACATAAATGGCAGACTTTCAGAGAAAGTGATAGACTTTCAAGTCAAAATGCCTTAAAGCCCGCATGACAAGGTATAGTCCCCAAAATGAGAAAGGAAGTCTT